CCCCCCCCCCTTTTTGCATAGCACTCCAGATCTCCTTCCTACCTTCCCCATTACACTAGTTACAATTGCACAGCTGCGGCAGCGCGAAAAGCTCCGCTCTCGGTCGAGAAACTCTTCGATCGTGACCATAGCAAGTTGGCTCATTACCATTTAGAACGTACTGCCAATCTGTTCGAGGGTGGAACGCTATCAGCCTGTATGCGACGGCTTCGATCTGGCACTCGTCGGGGTGACGTGGCGCCACATCCTTTCGATGGCACCGGTAAGCGACCTAGTCCGTGCCGCTCTGAGACCTCTCACTGAATACGGTATAGGATTGTATTGGTGGCTTTCATGGCTGAATTAATTTCAACAAGCCCGAGTTACAACAACAGAAAAGTGCCTATCGGTAATTGGCTGTTTATATGCGCAAAGCTATGTCCCTTTGGGAAAAGTGGCCACTCCAGCCCTCAGTTTTTCCGTTGAAGAATAGGGAATGCCTAGGGGCGGCGACTTCGACGGCGACTTCGACGGCGACTTCGCACCACGGCGAATTCGCTTAAAGCTTGGCAGAGGGTTCCACACCTAATTTAGCTAGTGTCTATTTTTCCTTGTCGTGAATCTATTTCCTATTGCAATTCCAGACCTCGCCGCCGCCTGTTTGTACTGTATAGCCAACCTTGGTGTTAATCTCTTAGCCATCCTGTAAATTAAGCAGGAAACTTGATTGCTTTGCCTCAACTAGCCTAGTAGTCCGTTCGCCGTGGTAGATACAGTGGAAGTTATAGCTAGGATTGGAGGGCTTGCCACCCCCTCCTTTGACTGTGCCAAAGCCCTGGGTAGGGGAATAGACCTGGAGGCGCTCCTGGCCTGGAATTCCTCAGGTGTGTCATAGATCTCCTGGTCGACAGGATCACGGCGGTATTTGGCAGGATAGCCATTCACAGCCTTCTCAAGTGGTCGATGGAGGTGGCCAGGACAGCCCGGCCCAGCACGCCAGGGAGGACCATCGGCCATTGCACAGACTATGCGGCGGCGGCGGCGGCGAGAGCCAGATCGTGAGGTTATCCCAACATTCAATCGCTGACTGAATTACAGGATTTGTGTGACTAGCAGAAACGAATGTCAGCCAAATTTGCTATGCCAGGTTTCTACTAGGCATGAACAGGTAAATTAAGCGAATTCGCCGTAGTACGAAGCCGCCGTCGAAGTCGCCGCCCCTAGGCATTCCAGGGGAATATGTTCTAAAGGGGAAACGAGTTTCGAGACTGACTGTACGCCATCTGGGCGGACTAAGACACCTGCGGCCCGCCCAAATGAAATAAACATACCAGGCCTACTTCGTACCCAAGCTAGACTATGCATCGACAGCGTGGCACAATCTCAACAGGGATAAAGGGCATCTCAGAATCCTCGATACCGTCCAAAGAGCAGCCCTCCCTCGGGATCATCTCGCCATTTGAGTCCGTTTGAACCCAGGTGCTCGAGGTAGAATGCAATGTGTTCCTTACACGCCTGAGACTCAAACTCCGGGGGCAAGAGGCGGCGATGCGATTATGCTCTCTCCCTCAAACACACCCAACTTGCCAGGGTCGTGGACCGAGTAAAGCAACGTGTGAATCGATGGGGAACTCAGCCCAGATTCCCGTTCGCCGAGACCAGCGAAACGTTCGACATTAGAGAGCTCGGGGTCGCTGGAGACTATAGACCCAACACCCATCCCACCCTAAAGCCAACCAGAGTGACGCAGGCACCGGAAGAAACGAATTGGCTGAGCGACTCGCGAAGCAAAGCAGTCACATCTGACAGAACAACACAGGGTTGGCCGTCTAGTATCAACGTACAAACGAATAGTACGCAAAAGGATCCAAGATGAGTGGCAAGAAGAGTGGAAGGCTACCCCAAACGTCAAACATTTGAAAAGAATCGATGACGGCCTCTGGGCCGGGCGGCGTCTTCCGTCTTCACAGCCAACTCACACGACCCCGAACCTACCTTACGGTACAACCTCGGGCCGGGCACTCCTGGCTGGCACTACACAGCCCACAGTTTAGGTTCATAGATCACGAGCGCTGCGCGTGCAGAGCCATCGAAACGGTAGTCCACGTGCCGGCGGACTGCCCAAGGCTCTAAAAAGCAAGGCAAGAATGACGGTCTCAGGTAGGAGACTCGATCGGATGCGTCGTAACTATACTCGGAGGGACCCCTCGAAATGAGCCAAGGTAAGGCAAGTAAGGACCGGATCAGGTACAAAATTGTCAATGCTATTCTAGAATTTGCAGAAGCCCTAGGAAGGGCCAAATCACGGGCTCCGATGACGGGGCGAAGGGAAATCAACAAGTTTTAACGAAGCTGAAAGCTCGCCCATGTAATAGCGACAAGCGTATCGTACTAAATAGAGACTGAAGAGGAGACCATAACAGTAATTACCCGGCATACCACTCCCTAATGGAGAGAGAGATCAGGGTTAATGAATCGAGTCAAGTCAAGTCAAGACTGTACGCCATCTATTCTTTCTTCAATATCTCCCAAGAACCAAATAGCGCATGTGGATTTGGCATACAGAAGGGGGAAAGGACGAACAGAAAAATCGACTCTCGGCGCAACCGGTTTGATATCCAGAGGAAGTGACATAAAGGTGTGCTGTGCTGCTTGGATTTTTCGCCGTTAATGTCATCGCATGAAAATTTGACTCGCGTATTCATAAGTCTTCTCGACAAGTAAGCTGTATATCCCATATGGACTTCCATTCCAAAAACACCAGCTGTGGCAGCGGAGGCACGCGGTAGCCTTAAGGAGATACAGATCTTCGGCGGTTCTCGTGCACATCCTTAATCGGTCCCTTCAGTGGTTTCAATATTCTCCTCATAATGCGGCACTACCGCGCCAGCGGGAGGTTGACGGTGATCGATTTGGATCCACCAGTCGAAGAGGATCCTAGCCAGGGCGGATTCTCCAGCGCCGTATTCCAAGGGAGGGCCTGAGATATCTCCTTCTAAACGACCCTTTCTAAATACCGCCCAGGCGGAAGTGTTTGTGCTCGAGAGCGAAATTTCTCTTCGCCGATTTTGCACTTGGAAGTCATGTAGAACCACGACATCGCCGCGATAGACTTTTGGAAGTGCGTGTTCATCAGGTCGAAAGATCCGAGTAGCGATTCCTTGCTGCCGCTCGGGGACAAGTGAAGGGTCAACCAACCGTAGGGTGATAAGATAGTCTTTAGGACCCGACCTCGAGCGTACCGGCGGCGGTGAGGCCTCCTTGGAGACGGCTATAACATCAACCGGTCGACCGAAATACTCGCGGAGGGTGTTGAGGTGAGGGTAGTATGCGAGAGATGTCGCGATCCCTCCAGGCGTATCTCTTTTCTCCTTTTCACTACTCCAGTGTGTAAATATCCATGCCGCCCCCACGCTGTTTGGCTCTGACGATTCGATTCGACCCGTCGGTTGTGGCATGCCTTCCTCTTCAGCCGGCAGAGTGTAAAGAACTGATGTAGCTCGGCGTTACGGGCCAGAGACGATTCAGACCGCGATATCCTCCATGGAAAGGTTACAGGCGGTTTTAGCTGAAATTTTCACTTTTGCCGTTCGGTCTCACGATCAGGTCCCTGTAAATAGACTAGGATATTGCTTAGCGTACCGTTCCAGAGTAGTTGGGCTCGGTTTCTTTACTGGCGAAGGAGCGAAGGACCAGTTATTTGTGACGAAGGGTCGCGGACTGACCCAAGACATGACTTGACCAGGTGGAAGCCATCTTAAGCTACACAGCACCTGCCCGTTATCTGAGACAAATTTTCATTGAGTGGGAGTATTCTCCATACTGGAAGATTTACGCTACAATTTTTAAGTGCCGTGAGTTGTGACGATATAGTCCGTACTCTGTGTGGAGTAATGCGGATGCAGGACTCAGGCAGTGCCGCTTTGGGAACCAATTATTAGCGAGACACTCTTACAAATGCTCTAGCTCTATTAACTGATTGGCCAATCACTTACGGCGCTACCTTAGAAAACCCGGCAGAAGGGCCAATTGGTTTGGGCCCTGGCCCCGCTTGCCATAATTGCAAGCAAACTGAGTGGTCATTGGCTGAAATGACCCATTTTGTCATAAACGAAAATGGCCAGTTAGCAGTTCCTGGGAAGGACCTGTAAAGAGGAATGAGGGGATACCGCAGCGGCGCAGTCAGTCTCCGCTAGGAACTCCAGTGCTAGACACACAGCACAGGCTGACGAACCCACGATTGACCATCATTTATGTGTAAAAGACGCCCGAGGTATTCCCACACTACGTGGTCGTCAACCGCAGGTGCGACGATCGACTCGGCTTCGTCTAAGTCACGCGAACCAAAAGAAAAGAGAGCCAAATAGGCCATGCAGGCGTGCTCGCTGTGGCTATAAGCACTGGTTAATACCTCCCTCACACTCTTCCAGTCTCCTCCCGTATGTACCCTCGTCTAACCTGAAAAGACCCCCGTTTCATACTGTTGACGGAAATAGGGCCTGCGGAAAAGACATGAATCGGTCTATCGGGGTGTGTCCCGTCCCAGGTCGTGCCTGATCGTTGATATACCAATAGCAATGGCTAGAGAAGATCTCTTCTGGTTCCTGCGACGTAGATCTCTCAACGGGGGCACTAGTGGGATTGCCGTCTAATCGATGATCCTGAAATAGTTCCCCAGGCAGCGATCGCCAAGAGATGACAACAAATCCCCATTCCGAAGCGTTAAGGCTCTATGTTCAAGGGACGCGCATGTTCGACCGAAGAGCTGGTTGGGCAGTCCCAGAGAGGTATCTTTCGTGGAGAAGATATCTTGCGCAGTCTTCCGCATGTTTGCCGAGTACGTACGTAGTCCTATACCGCACGATCGAAGTGGAGAGCTTCACAAGCGGCACAGCCAGACCCGATGCACCGTCACGAATCGTGAAGCTACGAAGACACGAGAATTTTTGTGGAATTCTCGTAAGTATGATAGGTACTAGAGATACTGTTTTGTCTCATTTGTATAGCTATGTTGTCTTATTGGTTTGGGATGGGAGGGGGGAGGGGTGGGCGGAGGCGTTGGTATTTGACAAACAGTCCGTCGATCTAGGAGCGGAGGCAGGAAAGGGCGGGAATCTGACACTCTCCGGTTCTTTCGTGGTCGAACTAGGCCATGATTCTCCTGACACCGTCGACGCCGAATGATTTTGCTGGCTGCTTGGGAGGTGGCTGAACAAGCGCAGGCCGCAGCGGCGCAGCCAAGTCCACACGCGAGACTATATTCATTGTCGAACCCGGTCTTTAAGTACTTCTTCTTGTATTGCTTGTGTCCTGAGTACTACAGCCAGTCAAGTTTAAAGCCTCGGGAGCCGATAGCTTAGGATTCAAAGCTTTAATAGATCGGGTTGTTTGATAGTTTAATAGAATGAGCGGAACGCTTATTGCACGCGATCATGCCTTTGTCGATCGATAACCACTTCGCTGGCTTGCTGGGCTCGGGGTGGTTGGCACGGATCATTCATGGAACCGGTTCCAGCGTGGTTAATAGAGACGCACGAGTTGAGATCTCGGTTTTGTTAATCGCGAGGAATCGGTGTGTTTGCTCCCGTAAATTGCGATCCCGGTGTCGACGCAGACTGTGGCCTCCGGCGCGAGACTCGCGCCGCCAATGGTCAAGTTTTTCTTTTCCCCATGTGAATCCCCCTATAGATGAGAATGCCCGACTATCGGAGTAACTCTCATATAACGCTTGGCGGCGAACTCCTTAGCTTGTGTCTTCCAACTTTCAGAGCTCTGAGATTTGATTCGCCCACCATTTACGACGGATGGTAAAAAGGTTGGAGCTAGCCCTTGTAGACTTGCCCGGAGTCCTTTCGAGCACCGACGTTTGTGGTCGCTTTTTCGACCAGAGTGCCGCGGGATACCTCCCACCATTGCCAATCCCCTATCGATGGAATCTCTATAGCCTGGCAGACCAAAGTCGTCGGCTAGACTTTGCATTACGCGACGCTGCTGAGAGTCGTGTGCGACGTCATTTGCGAGGCCGCTCCGAATTTATGAGGTTGTCTATATAAATAACTAGCTGATATCTTCCTCGACCAAATCCCTGCTCCCTCTCCTACTTTCCCCTCCCCTCGTTTCTTTTAAACTCAACTTCCGATGACATGTTTGAAATAAGAAAACCTCCAGGTACCGGTTCAATAGCATCTGTTACCCCTCTTACGCCCTTTTGTTCGTGTCTATGACAACTATGTGTCTCAGTCCGGAGGAGCCGGATCCTGTGAGCACCGAAGATCTCAGCCCGGTGAAATCGTCCAGATCTACTTCCAATCAAGCTGCTTCCTTCAACTCTCACGCTTCGACGAGATCCGACGAAGACTGGACGAAGATCTCCGACCCCGCAGAGAGGCGACGAATCCAGAATCGGCGTGCTCAGGTGAGGAGCCTCGAGTGGACGATGAAACTGATTATCTGACTTAGGCGACAGCGCAAGTACCGCAAAAAGAAAAGAGAGGAAGACTTGAAGCGCAGTGCACAATCACGTTGTGACATCATCGAACAGCCAGAGCCCCATACTCAATTAGCTACTACGCTGCTAGACCGAACGGAAGAAAACAAACCCCAAGGTATATGCGCGACTTGGCCAACCCCGAACGTGTACCGTGATCCCTGGGGTCAGCAATACACAATATCATCCCCAGAGAGGGAGAGTACCTCGGTCGACTTTTTTCACAATCCCCGTTTTCAAAACCTACCTGGCAACGAGGTGTCGCTGAGCATAATTGATACTGGGGCTCACGATTCACAACAGATGGCACCTGGTAGTAGCGCCAACAATGAAGGCATTTTCGGCCAGTACTCGAGTCAGCCGTGCTCATTTGACCCCGTATCCGGAGGCTTGTGCTCTTCATTCCTTGATATGGATCACGTACCTATCCCGAACCGTTGCGGGTTAGGTCCACATATCTGATTCTCAAGGGTCTTGCCATGGGACCGCTCTGTGGGATTGTGTCGGCAGCCTCCGTTGTAGGACTCTTCAACATTGCCCTTGCGCGGCTGTAGCATTTAGAGAAGGATAGATAGGTCCCGCGGACGGGGTCCGCGGAATAATTGAAACACATGCCAAACAAGGGACGATGGTGTTGAACAGTGAGGATCAGGGTGTGAATCCCGCGTTTTCCGGTGTATTTATATTATTCTGTGTTCTCCTTGCTTCTACTGTAAAAGCTCCATGTCTGCGTAATATATGGCACGGGGGCAGAACCATGATTGAAAAGATCCCCCATTATAACTGACGACCTAGCTTGCTCAACATCGCATTGTCCGGCGGAAAGGTTCTAAGGGCGGAAAATGGATATCCTTCTCTATCAGGGTGAATGGGAGTTAATGACACCCTCTCGCTTAGCGAATCCCTTGGTCCGCTCATTTGGTCTTCAGAGCTTCGGACACCGGTGGTGGATGGAATATGATGAGACGCACTAGGGATTCCCGTTTCGGGTAGCCTGACTAAAGAGCTCGTTGAGGCCTGGTCCGGCTTCTCACTGGGGTGCCGGTGGTAGTTCTCTAACTTCTGGGTCGGATGAGAAGCTAAGGGCCTTGGATGGATAGTACGCAGTCCACCACCGCGTTGGCCGGTTGCGTGGATCTTCACGCTCCCATGGCTTGAGCGATTTAGCGGACGTGTGTTCGGATTCATTGACCTTGATGTGTCGTGATCCTCAGGGACCCAGGGAGTCAGCCGCCATTGCCCCGTCCTACGTTGACACTCGCCGGCCGTGGCATCTTCACGGCAGTTCTCACAAGGACCATCGTTCGAGCCGACACATCGAATCTAAAAGGCTTTAGTACCCCTCGAGGCCAGCAATGCCGAATAGAGCGAGCGGTACCTCCCTTTTTCTTCTGGCAGGACCGGCAGGCCCTGACCGTCCGCCGCCACGCTCGAATAGCAGGAGTACGTGCCTCAGCAGGATGAAAGTACCTCCACGGAGAAGGATCCATCGACAGGCGTACGGAAGGGTCGGCCTGGACGGGCGAGATGGTTTCTGACCGGTCGGACCACAAAGGATAGGTGTTCGGGGGAGGCGGATTACCCTTGAGAAAACATGAATAACCGGGCGCAACCACTTACTTGGCTTCATCTCGGTCTACTTACAGGATAATCTTTTTGTACCCAAAACGGACCGTTTTCGTGGCGCGAAGGCTGGGTCATTGCGTGATTAGGATCCGGCCGCTAAGCATAGCTTTTGTTGTATTTGAGATGGGTTTTCGCGAGAGGAGAAACGGAGAGATAGCTATGATTTATACCTCTGTCGAGTCTCGTCTAAAGAAAGGTGGGTGAAAGGTTTAGCCAAACTCAATATGGGGGACTGAAAAATGATCTAGGGCGAGAGCATGATGTGCGGGGGCCCGCAGGACAAGAGAACGGGGGGAAGGGGCGTAGGGGGACCAGCGCGGAAAGAGAGGTGATTCGCCTGCTGTCCTCTGGTAGTACGGATCGAACCTAGGTCGGATGAAGATTTATGCCTCCGATTGGTAGGAAAGTATCAGCCACAAGGATTGGCTGAACTTTGAGAAGACCACGCTGATTGGTGCAAAACTTTCAGCGTGGTTAGCAGGATAAGGTGCCATATTTATTTGGACAGGAGGCTGAAGCTTGAAGTAATTTAACTTGAAACGACCTGTGCACTGTCTTTTGTCCCGTCGGAGGCCGCCGTGGTGTAGATAATGCTCTCTGGGTTGGGGGTGGGGAACGTCGGGCGGGTAAACCAGCTGTGCAGCGAGAAGTGCTCAGTTACTTCGATGCATGCAAATAAACCCGTTGAGTCCGAGGCATTGACCATTCGTGGGCCACGGGCCTTTTTGAGGAGATTGCCCCCTAGCTTGTTCGGTAGAGAGATATGTGACTGAGATTATCACTAGGCTGAACGCCGCGTATACTTGTCTCCGCCAATCTAGATGTCAACTTCCAGTAGATCCATAACAAACCCCTAACATTAATTGATTAGGTAGTCTCCAAGCCAAGACGGCCGGTAACTCGCGAGGGAAACCTGAAAAAGGAAGGCATCTCAGTATAAAAAGTGCGTGAATACCGGAGTAGTCATTTCGAATTAAGCTTCTTCTCGCTCCGTCTTACTGTATCTCCTGCCGCTGATTTTTAGAAAGAACGCGTTTTCTTACTTATGTCATAACCCTACCCTCCTTTCTTACGGCGGGGTTCATTTTTTCTTTCTTTTTTATCCCCCCCAATCGCGGTGTGGAGCTTGGGAAGAGAGTAAGGTTTAGCATATCTACCGTATAGACATTGTGGTCTAGAGAGTCTGGAAATCGAAGACCTTCCTCTTGCTACAATGATACGCGAAGTATTTCTCCACTCTCCTAGACTGAGAATCTGATCCGCTAAGAAAGCTTTAGCTCCCCTTCTGACGACCTCGGGTGTCGTATCGACGGCAATGCGGACGTGAGCGGAGACGGCTCGAAATTGGACGCTCGTGCGATGAGCGAGTCACGCTAATTGACTGGGGTCGTTGTCTACATGCTTTCTTCCGCGGCGCCTCTTCCCCGTGATGCTCCTCTATACGTCGCTTCCGACCCGGAGGACTAACTTCTATAGGCACAGGTGGCTGAGTGTCCGAACCCACCGCCTCCGCTAACATCGGTGGCAGGTACGACGTGGCCCAGGCCCGCTGATAATATGCAAGTTCCCAAGCAGACGCCATATCGAAAGGAGAGCCAGAAATATGCCCCACACCTTGATTCGTGCGGAGCTTGACGTCCAGAGAGGCTGACAGGTCGCGTTGGGTGACGGAGATAGGGCAGTCGAAGTTTCCAATGACATCCAAGACACACTGGCCAACCCGAATGCCACGGACAATCACCTCCGCATAAGGAAGCACCTGATCTCGGAACCGGTCGTAATTAGGGTGAGACACTTTCACGCGGCAGCGAATGTGGCCCGTAAAAGCACACAGGCCGATATCGTTGACCCTGGCGTCTGTAAGTTCTAGGTAGAACATGTTACTCAGGACCAGCGGCGCCAATTGGGTCAGCTCTGGCGAGCGCTGGAAAGTGCGCTGGGCGGAGTTTCTCAACCTCGGAATGGCCTGTACGCTATCTAGTTTTGGAAAGGGAGAGGGAATTGTGGTGTCGAATCGAAAGCAACGCCCTTCATCGACAAGCCGGGGATTCCCTATCATAAGCTTCCGCCATGCCGTGTCTCCGCATAGATGAGAGTTGAGGAATCCGTACATCTGCCAGATGCCGCTTTCACGGAACGCCCGTCGTATCCAACCCCGTCCATCCTCTACACCGGAGACCATCGTGTTTACATCTGAGTTCGTCGTCGTCTCGTTCGTCCCCGTCGCTAGGGAGACGAGATAATCCGGCGTGTGGGTATTATAACCAGTCCCCTTCCGTCCTGAGGTTATCGCGTTGCTCTCTGCTATAGCTAGATCACTAGGATTGATGGCGCACATCGCCCCGTCTTGCACCATCTCGTCCAGCCCCTCAAGACGATGAGGAGGAAAGTACCTGGCAGTCTCTGTTAATATTGTTTCCATTCGGTGGGGCCGGGACTTGTCTTCTGCATTCGAGAGCGCTCTACTTACACTGGAGCCGCCGTCGTACATCGAAGGCTACACGGGTGTTATTGTGTCTCAGCTCTCGACCGGCCAACAGGGGGTTAAGAAGAGATGAGCACACTGCTTACCATTCCCACAGCCGAGTTTCAGTGCCACGGAATATTTGATAATCTGTGACTTTACGTCAGCTGATTGGATCAATGAGGCAAAACAGACCGGACAAAAGCCCGGGACAGAGGAGTTTTTGGGAGAGGGAAAGGAGGGGGGGGG